ACTTGGAATCAGTATCGATTTTAGTTTTCTTTTATTTTGTTCATTAATTATTCATAAAATTGCAGAGAATTATCTAAAGTCCTTCATAGTCATTCAAGATCTCACTAGACTTGTCTATTTACCTAATTGCCATCTTAAAGCTGAAGCATTCTCTGTTTTGTCACACACACGACCAGCTGAGGTGCTCAGCCCCAAATCCAGTTTGGATTCAGGTTAGAAATCAGGCTCGGGGGGCCCAACTTGATGAGTAATTCATGCAGCACGTGTCTGCATGTGTGTGTGTGTGTGTGTGTTTTTGTTGGTAGAGATTCTTGTATGTTGCGACGAGTTTGGTTAAAGTTCTGCTAATGTTGTCGAGCAGCAATAACAATACGTGTATGCTGCAATAACAACAAACGGCAACAATGCAACGGGACAACGGGTTGACGGGGCAACGTGGCAGCGTGCCAGCGTGGAACAACAAAGGCATGCAAGTATTAAACTATGCAGGTTAATTTGACTAGAAACGCCGTTTGCCATGCTGCTGCTTGTCAGGCTGTTGTTGCTGTTGCTAGATGAAGGCACCCGCGGGCAACTTGGACACAAAGTTGGCCCAGGCATGTCGCCTGGCCCCTTTTATAATGCTGCAGTTAAAATGCGAACAAAAGACAATGGACAAGACACTAGCAGCATGGCTGTAATCTATGTACACAAACACACACACACACACACTCACACGCGTCGCACATATTTGCAACATACATGCAACAGATTCTCGAGTCGAGTTGCTAATGTGAGGCCCGGTCGGTGCACGAACTTCTTTTCCACTTCGAATGCGGCCTCTTTAAAGTGCAACGTTGCGTATGCGCAATTATTAAATGCTGCATGCGACGCAGCGCAGCTGCTGCTGCTGCTGCCGCACAGCGCCTGCCATTAACTCTGATTGTAAATGTGAATGCAATTTTCAATGTAATTGCTCAAAAGCCATTTGACACGATTTTGTCAGAGTGTTGATGCCATTACAATTTGCCAAAGCAATAAAAAACACAAAACAGAAATTAAACAGCAACAGAAGAAACCAAAGAGAGCGCAAAGGGCAAAGGCAATGAAAATGAATGTAAAAGGAATGCAAAGCTTTACAATTATTATTATTAAACGAAATGTACGAGCCCTTTAAGTAGAAATCTTTCTCATTTACTGAGTACAGAAAACTCATATCGAGAGTGAAGAAAAACTCAATTAATTTTCTCTATAAAAAAACTCTTTATTTCTCTTAAAATCGTTCTCTTCTTCTGCTGCTGCATCTTAATTATTCATATATAAATATATTTGTCCAATCTAACTTTAAGAATTTCTCCCAGCAACATTTTCTATATCTATTTTCGTTTTGCCATAACTTGTAGGCGCCGAGAATCTATTACCGCAACTACGATTAAGTATTCTGGCCATTTAGCAGTGTTGCCTGAAACGCCAGCGTAACCCTTTGCAATCCCCAATTTTACATATTTTTAAATATTTCTCACCCGTTCCCAGTGGCAAAGCACGAAAATCCGATAAAAGCCTTGTCAAGCCGCCGTCAAGCGACCAAAAAAAAAAAATTGTAGAGGCACAAAATATAATAAAAGAATTAAAACAGAAAAAAAGAAGGAAAAAAGTAGAGCATGCGGCACAACATCCGTAACTGCAGAGCCGAGCAGAGCAGAGCAGCTAGGGTTGATTGGTGCCCATGTCCAGCAAACAAAAACTGCTCCGCCGCCCCTTGAGCCACCTCCTGGCAACACCCGCAACCCCTATGGCCATAGGGTAAACCTTTGACGCTTCATCGTTTGCCGGAATTCAGTTACTGTTGCTGTTGCTGTTTGTGATGTTGTTGTTGTTGTTGTTGTTGCTGCTGCTGTTGTTGCTGGTGCTGCACACTAATTTCATTTTTTATACAAATCGAGAAGAGTTCTCGTATTTCGTTATCGACTTTTGTTTGTTAACGCTTAGCTTGCCGATTTTCGAGTTACTCGCAGCTAGATGGAATTTCGTTTCGCTCTTCCTCTTTTTTTTCCAACTGTTTTTTTGGTTTTTGTTTTGCAGCTGCATCGAAAACAATTTTTGATGGTTGTGCAACGCGTTGCGGCATTTGCATTCAACGACAATTTATGCAAATCGAATTGTCAGCCAAGCATTGCATATTGAATTAGCTGAAGAGCAGTTGAGCAGGAGCAGGAGCAGCAGCGGCAAGGGAGACAAGACAAAATTGTGGCCAATTGGCGGACGATTTGTTAATTATGCGACCCACATTTACATGTAAAGAAGCAAACTTAATTCCATTTCTATTACTTTTGGCACACCAAAAAAAAAAAATTAAGCTGAAAAAGAAAAAACACAAAAATGTAGAATCGAAATATGAATGGGTTGGCCGAATGGCCGGTCAGCCAGAAGGCCGAGCCAGCGAGTGCGCTGGACGTGGCCGACAAAACGAACAATAGACCGTAAAATAAGTGCAAAAGCAGGAGGCAGTCGAGGCAGTCGAGCAGGCAGCATAAAAAGAAAACTGAAAAACTTTGAGAGAGCGCAGAAAATTCAGCGAAATGAAAAATGAACAAAGTGCCCTAATGGCAAAGCGTGCTCAACGTTTGAGACGAAAGCTGCAGGCAACACACAATGAACAGCATGTTCCTGTTTAAAAAAGAGAAAAAAAAGAAGGAAGATGAAAATTGTCGGCGAGAGTGAGAAAGAGAGAGGTATAGACGGGGGAGAGAGAGGGCAAAGAAAACTCAGCATCAATTGAACAGTTAAACTTCCATTAATTGTGCGCCAGCAGGAGGCGTAGAAGCTGAAGCAGGACCTGGACTAGGTCACAGGATGCCAATTCAGCTGTGCCAACTGTGTCAGTCTCAAATTTCAAATGCATGAGATGCCTTCGTAAACAGGTCAGCCACCAAAACCGTTGGCAAGTTATTCGAGCTGGCCAATTGTAAATTACGCTTGAGGAGAGCTGCGGCGCACGGTGCGAGGGGGTGCCGCTGCAAGCAGACGGCATTCAATTACATGATTGTGTCATTAGTGGATCCAAGCGAAATTAACCAACATTTGGGCAGCTAATTGGTTGCCTAAATGGCCCAAGCAGCTCGTGTGGAAATCCATGGAGCCAATTCCCCAACGTGGCCCCACTGCCAGGCACTCCATCCCACCACGAGCCGCCCAACCACCACCCGCTTCAATGAAGCGCGCCGCGTAAAGTGTCGCCAGTCACACTTCATTGAAGACTGTCTCAAATTTTCCATTTAACAAATTAGCAGGCTGCCAGCAAGAGAAAACATCAAGTGAAAATTAAAAAAAAAAAAATTGGAGAAAAAAAGGAAGCATCAGCCAATTGCGCACCACTGCGACACAAAGGGCATCCACCGAGCCGAGTGGCGCAATGACACCGAAATTAGTATTAAGCTGAAAGTAATGATAGGCCGGATGAGAAATGCCAGCTGTCCGTAATGAAACACTCCTCGGCACAACAATAGGCCACCGATTTCATCTCAAATCCGCTGACAATTATATCAAACAAAAGCAAAAACACAAAGAGAAAAATCAATTTTATATACAAAAAAAAAAACTATTGATATTTTTGAAGAGTTAGCACCAGAGTTATTTTACCATGTCACTCCTATCAACTCGAAAAATAATTCTCATACTGTCATAAAAAAAAAATTCAAAAATCCAAAGTTTATCCAACAAGTCCCAAAATATTTTTATACCCAAGTTTATTTGATTTTTCATAATGAGGTTTAGCTATAATATTGGTGTATTCTTAAATTAAAGCAAAATAAATTTATGTATATACTAATAAATTTAGTATATATTTATTAGTATATATATAAATATATACTAACCAGCTTAGCAGCATACATATATAATTCATTGTATTATATTTTATTTTAATTTATTATCCGCTAAAAAAAATAAAGGAAAAGACCAATATTAAAGCGCATTTGTTTTGGCGTTTTACAATTTTTTTAAACAGCCATTGAAAAAATAATAAAAAGCAAAAATAAAAACCAATACGTAAAAAGAAAAAAAAATAAACAGAAGAGAGCAGAGCACAAGTGTGAACGGGCGAACATAAATCATTTTCCGGAAAATGAAAAGCTTTGCGCAACAAGTCGACGAAACAATAAAAATCTGCTTTAGAAGGGGCGAACGAATGAAGTTTACTAAGAGCAAGGCAGCGAGGAGTCAGAGCGGCACTGGGAGGGGAAGGGGAGCGACTAGGTGCCATCGAGCGGCTGACCGACCGAAAAGAAATATATGTTAAATTAATATATATTAGAATTAATGGCTCTTTTCGAGGGTGCAGCCACGAGCTGCTGCAAGGGGGCTGAACGTGGCAGCTTTGAATGAAGGATGGGGACTTCAAATGAAAATACTTCTAGCTGCGCGATTGTCCATTAAAGCGGAGAAAACTTTTCGCATTTTAAATATCGTATAGAGAGCTAAAAGCTGCAACGGAATACTTTTATGTTAGGTAAAGTGAAGAGCTTAAAGCAGAGTATTAAATGCGATATTGGCCAACCATCAATTAAATTACAAAAAATTTTCTGTGCATATTTTTCTTATATATTATTTTTATTTCGATATTGATGTCAATAGCAACACAAAAATGAATCAATTAAACATTGAACAATCAATTTTACAACACCAAATCTGATGTTTAATGATTTTAGCAATCATTTGTTAGCATTATGAATACTTTTTTCCTAGCAACCTGACAGAACTGGCCATTTGCGGTTCGCTCTGCCGTTATGTGAGATCCAACATGATTTATGTGCCCAGCATGCACAAGTGCTGAAAAAACCTCACAGCTATAAAGCGCTCAGCATACGTATAGCTATAGCTAGATGCCTCAAATATAATTTTCATTTAAAAATTGCAATATTTAAATATTTTTGCAGCAAAACTAATTTATTGTTACATCAATCTAAAACCACCAGCTAAATACAAAACTAAGATAGAGCTCTAAAGTATTTTTGTACTTCTAGAAATTTAATTTATGGTAAGAAGTAATGCTATTCAAAGAGAAGGAAAAATAGTTTAGCTAAACAGAAATTTCAGGCTTCACTTGTCAACTTACCTTAGGATCGGCCTTCTTCCAGCACTGATGGAACCACCAGGCCTTGTGGCACAGCGTATCGCCAATAGGGTGTACGCATTCCTGGGACATGGCGATCAGATTGTCGCGTATGGAGTGCGGCACCGAGCTGAATAGCTTGTCCAGATGCACGTCGCCATCGTCGTCGACCACTTCGAACTCGTGGAACAAACAATTCATGTAGCACTTGAGCTTTTCATCTTCATGGATTTCCCCATCACTGAACTCCTTGATCGCAGCTGTAAATTGTTGCAAGCGTTGCAATTAACATTATTATTATTATTTTTTTCCATTTTTCCATTTTTCTTTGTTCTTTGCTTTCTGCGCTGCCAGACAGATGGCTTGGTCGGACTCACCCTCGCTGACGCCCGTTTGCTCCACACAAGCGTCGTGGAAGAGCTTGGCCATTTTGAGTACGTTCCTCGGTGGATACTGCAATTAAAAATGTGCTGCTTAAGTAGGCGTGGCGCAACTCAGCTCGGTTTATTAACTCACGTTCTCGTCACGCTGCGCCAGAGCCGGCGACAGCAGCGCCTCGCTGAACACCAGCGACAAGGCGATTAACAGGCAGGCTGCGACAGGACGACGTCCGCGATTTCGGCCAAAGTCACTCAAAGCCATTTCCATGCAGACTCTCTGTGGAACAGCAGAAATTGTTGTTTGTACGCTCGTTCGGCCTTGTTTGCGAGTTGTGAAAGGCGGAACAAAAGCGACGATGCATAGCAACAAAAACAGCGCAACATCAAAAACAAAACAACAACAAATAAAAAGTTGAAATACAAAAGAGACAAACACTCTGTGAAAGGGTCACATGGTTAATACACTATACGAGATGCAGCTGGATGCAGCGAATGGATTAAAGATATCCTGAAATATATCCATTAGACTATACAGAAATTAAGTTGAGATCATCCATAGAATATTGTTTTAAGCGCTCAGCTACATCGGGATTATGAATATGAATATGAAGATATACTGATATATTCTATACAAAGAAAACAAGGAATCGGCATTGGCTTCGTGCACATTCGAGCCGACAGAGCTCGAGCACCCGCTCTGAGAGGGCATACAATGCGAGAGGGAGCCACATGCAGAATGGAAATGGATGTTGAGCTGGCAGAGACGACAACGTGCCACGCGTGACAGCTGGACAATGACAATCTATGTATATATGTATATGTATAGCCACACACACACACACACACACATATTTCTGTGTATGTGTGAGGGTTTTTCTAAGTGCGCTTTTTTGTAATTTTTATTTCAGGAAGCCAGGCAAGAGGTTCGGGCAGCGCATAGAGAGTGGGTTCGGGAAGCTGACAGAAGTGAAACCAACAAAAAATCATTTGTTTCTTGCTAGCTGAGCTCAGCTCACGCTAAATTAATTCTAACCGCTAGCTGAACAAAACAAAAAACAAAAAGCAAAGCAGAGAAAAAAGAAAACCTTGCCAAACGGAAGCGGAAATGTGGCCGAGACGTCAGGGCTTCAGAGCTGTTGTCAACGTTCCTTTCTTTCAATGCACAATCGTTGTGTTAATTTTGACAACCAGATGCCCACGTGCGTTGCCACGCCCTACCGCCTGCCAAGCCATATATATGTATGTGTATTCATATAAATGTCGAGGCGAATAGTATGAAATTTGCCATTCGCTCGCTCATTTTTTTTTTAACACAAAATACAATAGAAAGACGTCAACTTGTGCACAACTGTCACTTTTGTTTTATCAAATGTCAACGCAACAACCGAAACAAAGCCACAAAACGACGTAGGCACACACACACACACACACACACACACACACACACGCAAACAATCATAAAGAACGAATGAATTTACAATAACAGCAACTGTTATGGAGCTGTGCGTGTGTGTGTGGGTGTGTGCCCCACAGTTGGCCCTGGCAGCAACGATGGATGGTTTTTTAATTGCCATTTCAATTTTCGTTATGCGAATTGCCGTTGAAGCGTTTTTTACTACTTTTGTTGCTCCCGTTGTTGTTGTTGTTGCTGCTGTTGTTGTTTACCTACGCTCGTTCCCTTTTAAACTATCAACAGGACCAGAAAAAAAGAAAGTGTTCCAACACACGCGACAACCGCACTCGGAATCGAATTGACTTCACAGTCATTTCTAACGGCCTGTTTTATATCGATTTCGGGCAAGTTTTGCCCATTAAGTGATTCGGCATTAAATTCCTATAATTTAGTACTTAATCAATGTCCATATTTATCCAAGTTGCTTGTCATCGGCTTCCCAATGCACCACTTGAAATGTGTATATACTTTTGCAATTTGCATGCGACTGCAACTGTTCAACTGCAATCGCTCAGCACTCCCAGTTGCGTGCTGGCAATTGCTAGTTGCTACAAGAGCAGAAAAACAAATATATACATATACATATACATATACAAACGCACACATATATGATACAGACTTGGCCTCCAGCAGAAAATGACATTTTTTGCTGCGGGTCAAGGTATGCGAATTGCATATGTAAATAATTATTTAAATTGTTTAATTGACTTTTCTGGCATTCGCAAATAACTCTATTTGGAGCCGCACTCGCAAGCCGTGTGTAAGGCTCTAATTTGCTCAAGACTTTCAACTTGGAATTAAGCTATTCAGCTCACACAGATGCTAGTATAAATATGAATGGAAAATTATATTGCAAAAAATACATTTAATTCTCCATTTTGGTGCATGTCATCAAATGTGCTTCAATGTGTTTCAAGGGTTTTTGTTTTTTATTGCAACGATACATGGGTGAAAACGAAAACTGTAATATTTTATTACCTTTGGCCGTAACTAGCTGTTTGGCAATCGAATTTGAATTCCTAGTTTGGCTGCAATGACAACAGCAATTGCATTCAAATTGCCAGCTAGGTGAAATGAGCAAATGAATGCATACAACAAGCGCTGCAGATCCCAATGCAATGCAACGACCAAATGCCAAATGAAAGACCGGAAGCACATAAATTGAACGGTGATTGTCACAGGTAGCAACGCCCTGTGCTACCGATATGGCCATTGGTCATTTGTATGTTACATACGTACGCCGGCCATTCAGATTTATTGCGTACTCCGAAGGTAATTCTGTTAGCCGAACAGATCTAATGAAATGGTAACGTGTCCGAATGACACAGCGACAAAGGCATTTGATTGCAATTAAACAAATATGTTATACAGGATGAGTTGAATATAAAAATATATCGTATATCCTATAATCTTCGTTCAAAGTTTCATAATTTTTCACAAATTTTGAAATTATTTATGTTGGCTTTTGGTTGATAGAAATTTCTTACCGGTAGTTATGCTGTTAACATCATGTTAATAACATAACATGGCGATATGGGTATTGAGTTATTCATATAAATGGAATTTGGTATCTTTAGGTAGTTAGATAGATACTATATGAACATATCTCATCTCATCACATCTCATTTTTATCGTTTAATCAATGTAAATTTATAATAAACTGTAAACTCAACTCTACTCGATTCCTTCTAG